CAGATGCAATCAGGTGATAGGTACATGTACGACCCCCGGGGGGATTTAATTGGTGTATGGTTATTATTCGCCCTCCTGTGTCCTTATATGGACATTTATTATTTCGACTTTTTCCAATTTTAGATAAACCCTGAAAACACGATTTGAACATCATGTAAAAAGAGATGCACGATGTTGTGATATATTCTGTAAAATATCAATATACTTCAGGGAACTTTCATCTGCAACAATAACACGGTTTAATATAAGTTTTAAATTGGATCTTTATCCAATGCATATTTTTTGCATATGCCTGCTTGAAATTATCGAAAAAAGGGGATCAAAACATTTGTTAGACTCTGTGTTAGAAACAATACGATATTTTGCAGTAAGAATAAAAATGCGCTTGTCAAATGAATTCCCTTTACAAAACACTATGAATAGCAGCTTTCTACGCTTTTTAAACATTTTCCATTCATTATGATTATGGCGAAGATTACATATCTTTTCAAATCTTCAGATTTTAAATTATCCTAATCCCGTCAATTTCTCTGATAACATAGAACAGTACTTGTGTGTTTTCTACATCATCATTTATACTCAACTGAAAATTAATTTTTATTTTAAAAAATCAAAATGATAAGATGTAGAAAATGTAGTCCCTTAGGCAATGATTAGCCGTGTCGACTTGTCCGGAAAAAAATTAACCCCAGAAAAGTAAGGAAATCCTCATTAAATATTGACTGTTGAATTTTGCTTCTAGTAAACTGAAGACACGTGTATATTTTACTAATTCATTTAAAAAAAATCAAATGGATTAATTGTTTCGGATGGTCTACACATTTTACAGCTTAAGATTTTTAATTTAAAAAAAGTTTTCTCTATTTCACCAAAGATGTTCTTTTTGAAAACGTCCTTTCGCCAATGTCTGTATGCAAACGTATAACAAACTTATAAGCACAAGGCTTTGTACCAGTATGAGTCAGGTATTTTTTTTCTTCTAATTTTGCCAAACTAAATATTAGAACGGAAAGTAAATTTTACGCAAATATCGACATTAAATAAGGAACTTGTTGGTAAATCTTCTTCATAATTCTTGGATTAATTATCGGCAATCAGGTGTTGAATCATTTAAAGTCAACATTTTTAAATGTCTACTAGAATAAATGAAATATTAAAACAACTTTTAAAAGAATTTATAGAATTATTTTCGATACATTTTAATTTGAATTCATTGGTCAAAATTGGTATGTTAGAAAATTTTTCTTTAAAAATAAAAACTTTTTTTTTTCGGGGGGGGGGGATAATTTAATTTTGGTTTTTATTCATTTTTTCAAAAAGCGATACATCTGTGCGCCGAGAGACAGAATCAAATATTTGAATTTCTATTATTTTTTCAGGCGCGCAACGTTAGATATTGCAATGCAAGCAGATGGAGAATACATGTAAAATAAAGAATATGAAATACTATTATTGGTCTATACTGTTTTCATTTTTATTTATATTATACTAACAATAACTTTTAAAACGTTTAGAAATAAAGATAATCATTGTACATCAAACTGTTGTCAATTTGCTCTGATTTTGATGTATATTCGATCATTTCTCCTCGCAGAGCTCAAAAGTCTTTGCAATACTAAAGTATGCGTTGAATTGGACATTTATTGTCAATATTCAGGTGCACCTGGATATTGACAATACGTGTTTAATTTACACAAAAATATAATTTTTCATGAAAACAGGCTGGGGTAGGAACATTTTTTTTCAATAACTACAACTGACTTAAGTATTGATGAAATCACTGGTTATCTGAGCAATAGATTTTAGGTCAGATCGAGGTACAGACTACGTCATTAATATCTTGTAAAATTCTAATTCAAATTAAGTTAAGAAGATCCTATTACTGATGACACTGGCTTTTGTTGACAAAAAAGACGTAGGTTAAATCTGTGACACTGCTAAAATCCCAAATCAAGAAACTGTGATTTAGATTAATAATATACAATTAATATTGTTTACTATGATAAAGTAGTATGAGCTTGATTTTCATAAATATCAACTACTGTCTCTAGTGTACAAGTTGTGGTTTTTCTAACAAACAAACATAAAGGCATGTAAAAATATGGTCAATTATTTTCCTTGCATGTTTGACATCATAACATATAGTATTTGTGTAATACATGTATAAGATGTCAATAAGCCAATACTCAATAGCAAAACATGTAGACTCTCATCAATCTCACAATATGACATGCATAAACAAAGAGTGTGCTAAAATTCTTTAGCATCTGAAGTGAGTATTTGCTGAGATAACCGTAATAGAATTCTGGTACACACAGACACACGGATAAACAGGTAACAGACACTGTATACATACAAAAATAAATCCCATCATACGAAATACCTAAAAAAGTGACTGTGCTAAAAGCATCAAGCATTTACTACGAGTAGTTGCCGACTTTTTTTTACAGAGAGATACACAGACACTTTGAAAGACAGATAGACGATGGTTAAAAGACTTTTCAACGTTATACGTAAAAAAAAATGTGTTGTTATTTTTTATATATTCATGGGTTTAATTTCATGTAATAATACTAAATTATTTTAATCAAAATGTTAGAAAATATTCATTATAGAAAGTTATTAGCATTTATTGTTTCATTTTTTTTTACATATATTTATATGGGAATATTTACATTTGCAAGTGTTTTCCTTTATATAATTCCAATCTTCATTTTATCTATTGATTTCCTGTGTTTTGATTGGACGAGAACACGTTCAAGAAAATTTTTACACATCGATAAATTCTTGCAATCAGAACTACGTATTTGATCAAGCTTCTAGGTTATCGTATAAACAATGAAAACAGTTATTTCTGGTCTGTTCTGGCTAAATTATGGATACAAGAAACTTTAAATTTAATTGAGTAGACCTAAAGCAAAACTGGCAACATACTAGACTGCCCAGCTGATTGAATGGACGCCATGAAAATGTTTATGTCACTGTCCGATCACGAGCGTGAATTTTAAAAATGGCTGTCTCAACGTTCATTATAATACGAAGAAAATTAGCTCAGTTTGTATCGTTTTGACAGGGAAAATAAACGTGCCTCAAACCCTTGCCCTATTAGCATCAAATTCATATTTACTTTCTATATTGTTCCTCAATCTTTGAATAAACAAATGCAAATCGAAGGCGTCGTCGGTCTGCAACTTCGCACTTTTATTTAGTTTGTGAGTAAAATGTCAAGAGTTTACACATTGATAAATTTTTCAAAAAGAACGTTTAATCGTATAATAACACTACTAAAAGGAATGCGTATCTATAACTGTATAAATACAGGTACGGGGTCAAGAGGTCATGGATGTGCGTATGGATAATAGTTTGACGTAATTTCTCAATTACGTAATAAAGGATCGACGCGCGTTCAGTGGATTACATATAAGCAGTTGAGTTTGAAAAATAATGCATTTCACACGCTCAAAGTCACTATTAGGCACATATAAAGTATGAGGAAGTCACAATTGTAAATTTAAGTAATAAGGTATCATTTTAAAACACCTATGTTGACCCAACATTAGAACTAATACGGGTTGGTACGAGATTAAATTCATAATAAAGCCCTTCGTATTTATATCCCGATAGATGTTTAAAAACGATGCCTTATATTTTTTAAAATAAAATCGATATAAGTATAATGAATATTTATTACCTTTCAAAAATATTATAATAAAAACCGATTTGCAACCAATTTGTGGATGGGATTATTTTTAGTCTTATCTTGTGCTTAACCCAACATTAGAAATGTTAGACTTTTTTCGTGTAGATTTGTATAGGAGCAAATTTTAGAGGGATAACAATTCAAATTGACTGACTCCAGGTCTATTCACAAAAATAGTTATTAATGAAAAGAAAATAAATTTGGCTTAAATTTTAGAAATGTTTAGTTTTTGTCAGAAGACAAACTAAGAAAAATTTCGCAGGAATGACGTCGGTCATACGACATACGAAAAAAAAACACAAAATAGTTTTTGAAATGATTATGCGCTTATGCGACAAAGTAAAAAATAAAATGTTTCTTTGGTTCTTAGTACGGGAATTAATGTCGAAACTATCGCAGAAAAAAATACATAACACGCTTATGTGGATTTTGTAATGTTTTCTACAATTACCGCGACATAAATTCTTGTACTAACAACCAAAGAAAGCACTTCATTGTTTTGATTTACATCTGTCTCAAAAATCATACAAAAAGTAAAATAAAATTTGTTAACTATTGATTTAAAGAGGGGTATGTCAATGTATGTAAAACTGATGGAACATCCATTGTTAAAGATAACTACACAGTGTTGTTCATGCACTGATTAACGGCAATGGGTTTACATAAGGAATAAGGAAAAAATATTCAGTGGATGTAAAAATAATAGAATCCTTAGAGTAAAGCTTAACATCAGGTTTGACATAAACATAATATTCAGTTCGATATTTGTGATAAATTTTTCTTTCTAACTTACCATTTGAACCATGACCAATCCAAAATTATTCTACTCAACACTTATGAGTTTCCATGAACAGTTTGGAAAATACTAGCATAAGCTGTGAGCATTTAAAAATAAAAAAAAAACACAGCAATGTGTTTTCAACAACGTCTATCGTGATATCAATGTCAAAGTTTTATGTATCTACCTAACTTCCTAAGATTGTAAATAATAATCTAAATATTTGTGGAATACATTTTTCTCAAAACATAACAGAAGCATGAAAATATAAGGATAGACAAGCTTTTGAAAGATTCAACTGGAAGTCTCTTTTTACACAAATTCATGTTACAATATACACTGAATGCTACATACTGATATTTAAAAAAATAAATAGACAAGTCTTTTATAAGATTATGGTCTTTGGTCTTGGGTCCTTTTTAATCTTTCATTAGATTTCACTAAAAATAAAATGGTTTTACCTGAAAAAAGAAATAAAAAGTAATACTTGTTTACTTACATCAACAGCATTTCTCAATTCAGATTATCTCGAATTCTGGATGAATTCCATACACCAGTACAGCAGTGATACAGCACCTGTCATCTTGGTTGGTACACACAGTGAGAATAAAACAGAAAAGGTACTTGTATAAAATTTTCTTCTTAAAGTGACTGATTTATGAATTTTGTACAAAATATGCCAGGTGATAAAATATATAATGGCTACATTAAGAAAAATAAATAGCAGATGTTTAAAACTTGTTATTACTAAAATCAAAAGGAATAACTAGTTTGCCATATTAAGGGAATAATAGTTTTTCAAGACGATGTTAAAGCGCTTGAACATTATCTTTCTTTCCGCTACGATATAATAACCTGGCCGATGTGTTATCATACCTCTACTGATTTTTCACTATATGATAGTTAATCGATTTATTTTGCTGATTTCCTGAAAATCACCGTAAATAAACCAATTCCCTGCAAAACAGACTGATTCCCTGCAAAAAAGTACGTTTTTGATGAACTGATACACACCTATTCGGAACGCTTGCCACTTACGACAAACTTTAAAATGTTCCGAATAAACTCATGAATATTCATTAGTGAATTGGAATGCATCTCGAGTCAACTGGTCCCATATCAATCAAAAAGAACCAGTTTACTGGAGGCGAACGACAACAGAGCAAGCCTATTTCCCGAGGTGCAAGCGCAAGCGCCTCGGGAAATATACTTGCTCTTATGGAACTGGAATCTTGCTGACTCCCTCAACGATATACTTTAAATGTATACTGAATAAAACCTAATGAAAATGGATAAGCACAAATATAATTTATTTCGGTAACTATTTGTTAAAAATTAATTGTAATAAATATGTAGATAAGGAATAGAAGTAAAGCTCAGAGTCCCTTAAAGCTATTCAAAATAGGATAACTACTAACACAGAACATCAGGAATGTGCCAGGAACATTCCCCGCTGACCGGTCACACCAGCCGTGTACTCTTTGTCATGATCGGGGGAAAAAAAGTATGAAAAAAGTTAGTTAGCATATGACTAAGTAATTTATTTTATTTGCCGATAAGGTCATTGTATCGAACATAGAAAAAATTACATTAAACTGGAGCCGAGCTCGTTGCAACGAGTAGGTCTTCCGTCGGAGCTGCAGACAGGAAGAACTGACATTGAGTCAAGGTCATGCCACGTTCTAATGTTAAAGTAATAATAAAGGTTTAGATATCTTATTAGCGGTTAGATACAGACCCTAAACCGTGCTACTACACCACTTGCACGGTACGGTTCGGTACGCTTTGCGAACGGAACGGTTCGCTTTGTGAACGGTACGGTACGCTTTGTGCACGGAACGGTTCGCTTTGTGCACGGAACGGTACGCTTTGTGCACGGAACGGTACGCTTTGTGGACGGTACGGTTCGCTTTATGCACGGAACGGTACGCTTTGTGGACGGTACGGTTCGCTTCTTGCACGGAACGGTACGCTTTGTGGACGGTACGCTTTGGGAAACGGTATGCAAATGAAATGGGCGGATCCTGTTAGCTTTGGTCCTTGATTGGCTGCTAATTTTACAATTTTATTTCCGTTATTAAAGAATGTAATTTATTTATTATTCATATCAATTGAAGTATCGATGAGTTTCTATTTATTAGAGAAGTTTAAATATTTTATTACATATATGTTATTGTGTCGATCATAGTCTTGTATGCTATGTCTCGGTTTCAATTTTAAATATTAATTTACACTGCAGCAGTGATGGAGGAAATAAGAAAACAATGAAAGGAAATAAACATTGTCCCACTGATCTTTTTCGCATTTGTAAATATATTGATATATAGAAGGTAAATATTTCCGTGCGTATTTTTTTTTACGTATGCCGAACCTGCGTTTTAAATAGAAATAATAAATACATGTATATAATGCACTTCTCAATGTCAAACTTAATCACTAGTCATGTTACATTATCCTTAATATAGAATTGTAATCAATGTTATCATTTTGTAATAATTGTTCATGCCCCCCGTGGGCCCTTGATTGGTGAATAAACATAATAATATAATTTTTTTTTTTCATTTTAAAATAAAGCTTTAACAGAACTGAATATATACTTGTTCTTTATATAATACTACACACGTATATAAATTATTTTTAATTGATTGATCTATAGAAAAAATATTCGCGCTTATATTTTTATTCTTAGTAGTAAGAAATGTACATTGTTTCTTATTTTTAAAATTGTAGATCTGTCGTTTAAACGTCTGCCTTAGAAGAGAGAGAGAGAAAAAAAAAGAATATAAAAATAATTTACAGGGCATAGAAGACTTGTTTGTTTGTTTGTTTTTCTTTTTTCTTATGTAAATCTTTAATTATTCTGAAAATCTTTGATTATTCTGAATTTAGATACGAAAATCGGCAGCAGAAACTCGGAATCAATAAAATGACTTCCGGGCGTTTTTCTTGTAACAGAAAACATTTCTTTTCAGAAACTAGCATTATGTTTTCAAAAATCCTTTCAGTCAAAGTAATTATTTTAATAATTTTTTCTTTATTTTAATAAGTAAATAAGTGTGTAAATACATGTACAATGATGTGAATGAGAGAGAGAGAGAGAGAGAGAGAGAGAGAGAGAGAGAGAGAGAGAGAGAGAGAGATGCAACCCCTTGTTTCTTAATCTGTAAAAAAAATGTATTTATTCTCATTCTCCGTTTTATTTACATCGCCAAAGTCACATTTAATCTGTCTATGATGCTATTTAATTTCCACAACTTTCGTTCAAACTCAGCCTATTTACAACTATTGCGCAATGCATTCGTTCTCTGCACATGCACGAAATCCTTGTGCATCACTTGTCAGTCAAAATCGCATGACGCTAGGTGACCCTGAGAGTCTGTTTACGCGGAAAAAATTTCTCTTGTGATTTGAAACATTCTTATGGTCAGTTCACACCTGTTTGAAAAATATTGGGTCACAGCCAGAGGGCCGGGGTGCCGTGTGTTTAACACACCTTTCAAATTATTTAGCTCTGATCACATCAAGTCTACATGCATTTTTTAAAACTCACTCAAATGACATCCAGCGAAACTCATCTTCCAGGTTTCACCACAACACTGATTAGAAATTTTCTTCCTAAAATATCCATTTCAGACGCAATTAGATAAGCATGAATCCCTTAATTATCATTTTACTTTTTAAAAAGAAATGTACAATAGCGTCACATAAATTTGCAGACTTTTGATGAGTTTTTAGTAGCTGATTAGTATCGCCTTCTAGAAAGGGAGGGGGGGGGTATCAAACATAATGTGGCTTGAAGGAGGATTGAGAAAAAATCATGGTCTTTTTTATTTTCATTTTATTTTGTAAATTATCCTTTTCCAGACACAAATAAGCAGGTGTCCTGTAGGTTACCGGGGTATGATTTTTTTTTAAAATTGACAACAACGTAACATTTTGCACACTTCTAAAGTAGGGCTGGGCAATAATATCGATATTTCAATATATTGCAATACAATGACAAAAAATATCGTATCGCAATACAATTTTGTAATATCGACATATTGGCAATATGCTTAGATTAAGGAATTTTGTCATTAAATATAAAAATGAACTTATGAAAGTTTGTTATTAAACCAAACAGTAAGTCAGAAGTTGTTTGTGGGAACATTTCAGAGCTTAACTTAAATGAAATCAACAAGATTTTTTTTCAGTGCTGGTTACTTATCATAGTTATGTACATTCTGCATGTAAATTAAAGTAAATATAGTAAGAAAATGCCATTCTTAAGACACTGAAAATATTGCAATACATATCGCAATACAGTTAAAAATATCGCAATATATCGCAATACGAAATCTCGGGCCAATACCCAGCCCTATTCTAAAGAACTTATAACCTGTTAATTCGTATCGTTTTCACGAAAGGGGATGGGGGTACAGTGTAACAAACCTTATAATATCTATAATTTTTCGCAAATTGTTTTTTTTTTTTTTTGTATGCAGCTTGTAAGTTGATCACAATTTTATTAGTCAGATTATCATCTCTATCCGTTCAGTAGAAATCTTCCTGTTTACTGCATGTAATATTCTAATTCATATTTGACATAATTACCGATTTTCAGTGTAAGTCTAACTGCATCAATGATTCGCCGAGTAATTATCTGAGCAGAGTTAATGTGCAAGTCTAATACGGTTTTTTTTTTAACTCCAGACAGTTCATATATGTTTTAAAATTCTTACAAAATTAATAATTAATTAGTAAAATCACGCATCTGATATGAACTACACATGAATGCACACTTACGGCAAAAAGGATCACGTATCTGATTCAATAATTTAAATGGGCAAAATTAAAATATTAAGTCAAGAAAACCAGGGAATTAGTTTAAACATCTGTATAGTTTAATTACGAATATTTAAGTACAACAAATATTTCAAAAAGAAGTTGATTTGATTTGCTCAAATAAAGAAAATGAAAATATTTATTATCAGATCCGTAATGGGGAACTGTGATACACCTTGTTACATGGTGTCCAAGATCGCTGTGACATCAAGGATGCCGACATCGAGTTCGAGGTTCACGGTGCCACGTGTTTTGCGGGAAAAACCCGTGGTCTGTACTGTACCTTTGATCACAAATACAACGAGTTGATCTAATTTATAGCATATAAGGAATCGTCTCAGACTCTGTCTAGTTGTTTTAAAGTTGTTTATTTCGAGTAGTTTCCTTTATTTTCACAGTTGAAAGCCCAGATGCATGATACTTGATAATGGTGTTTCGAACAGCCAGACACAAAAAACCTCCTCCTTTCACGGGCGCTAGTGCGAAAAATAAACCAAACTGACTTCGATCGTCATTGCCCAGTCCAAAAATCATTGGGGGCGTGGTTTGCATAATTAACCAAAGAACGGTACGGTTCGTTTCTTGCACGGAACGGTACGCTTTGTGGACGGTACGGTACGCTTTGTGCACGGAACGGTTCGCTTTGTGGACGGTACGGTACGCTTTGAGCACGGAACGGTTCGCTTTGTGGACGGTACGGTACGCTTTGTGAACGGAACGGTTCGCTTTGTGCACGGAACGGTTCGCTTTGTGAACGGTACGGTACGCTTTGTGCACGGAACGGTACGGTTCGTTTCTGAGGTGTAGTAGCACGGTTTAGGGTCTGTATCTTCTTCATCGGAATTACTATTAAGAAAATGGATAGTAAAGGAATGTTTGTGACCTTGATCTTGTCAAAATGATCTTGCGATACACCATGACACAGGCTGGTGATGAGCATATCCCATTTGTGTGCTATCGTATGTACTTTCAAAGAATGCATCCAGCCAAAACATCAAGGCCATGACACTCTCTGCATGATATAAGCTATACCTTTTTAGCTCACCTGAGCCGAAGGCTCAAGTGAGCTTTTCTGATCAAAATTTGTCCGTCGTCTGTCGTTGTCGTCGTTGTTGTCGTTGGTATTGTCGTAAACTTTTCACATTTTTTTTCTGCTTCTCAAGAACCACTGGGCCAATTTAAACCAAACATTCTACAAAGTTTTCTTGGGTCAAGGGGACTCAATTTTATTCAAATGAAGGGCCACGCCCTTTTCGAAGTGGAGATAATTATGAATTATAGAAAAATTAATGGCGTTTTAAAAAAATCTTCTTCTCAAAAACCACTGGGCCTGGAAAGATGAAACTCATGTGGAATCATCCTCAGGTAGTCTAGATTCAAGTTTGTTCAAATCATGACCCCAATGGGTAAGGTGGGGCCAAAATGGTAGATCAAAGTTTTACATAGGAGTATATAGGAAAAATCTTTAAAAATCTTCTTCTCAAGAACCATTGAGACAAGAAAGATGAAACTCATGTGGAATCATCCTCAGCTAGTGTGGATTCCAGTTTTTTTTAAAACCATGACCCCCAGGGGTAGGATGGGGCCAAAATGGCCGATCAAAGTTTTATATAGGAATGTATAAACATAATATCCGCTGTAAATAACTTTGAATTTCTCGGGATGGAAATTCCGAGATCGGAGAAATGAAGGAAATCAATGATATATGTACAGATAAATCTACGTTGAATGTACAGTTGAATTTAATAAAAAATATCAATATTCTCAATAATGTCACTGTTTACATGTACAGTGTACATGTATCGATCGCCACATAAACAGTGATTGATCCACAATCCCATTACTGTATCGGAATATACAAGGGGCGGGGCTTAGTGGCGGCGAGATTAAAGCGGGGTACGCTTCACGCATCAGTGCGTAAAGCGGTCCCATAAAGCAAACGCCGGGTTCGATCTTGCGGGCCCAGAGCTGACCCCGAACAAACGCGGAGCGAATCCAAAGCGCACCCAGAGCGGTCCCAAAATTTCTGAAAGCGAACCCAAAGCGGACTCCGAGCGAACCCGGGATGCGAACCCTGTGTCTGCTTCGGGCTCAATTGTGAAATTTATGGCCCTGGGGTCATGGGTTCTAATGCTAGGGCGGGGCTAAATTGATTTTATAGTGAAAATGCATTATTAGGGCCCTGCAAGGATTTGCGTGTGCCCTACAGTAATCACTCTGTCTGTCCGTCTGTCTGTCTAGCTGTCTGTCCGTCTGTCACTCTTCCGTCCACAAATTTTCTGTTTTTTCTAATAACTTTTTTATGGTTGCCCAATCAAGTCCAAATTTGGTATGGTAGTTCAGTAGGAAGAAATACATATTTTGATGCTAAGATTGGTTCTCTTTGTCTTCTGGTTTGGAGCTGGGGTGGTGGGGTATTTTCCTTAACTATGCATAAGAATGAATGGTCAAAGAGAGATAACTGCTGAGAATATTGCCACTGTAAACTTGGAAGCCTTGGTAATTTGTCCTTTGGGATTAATTAACCTTCCACATGAAAAAATTCTAAGCATTATTTTTATCTGCCACATTGAGTTTAATAATTGTACCGCCTCTGTTGACAAATGAACTTTGTGGTGAAGTTAAGGTCAATTTTGAATGATGTGTACATTCTCTCAAATATGGATTTAAGATAACGTTCATTCTTTATATTGGTTATAATACTGTACACAATGATTGTATTTTTATTGAATTCTAAAATCAATATATACATGTACATATTAAGATATTTTTTATTATTAATATTTTTTTTGATTATTTTTTTGACTGCCTTAATGCTGTTAATTTTAACAGGTAATCAGAAAATAACGCCATTCTGTCAGAGCTAAAAAAAAATGTCGTAAATTTAGAAGAAAAGGATGAGAGAGCGGTACAATTATTCCCTTGGGATAAATTATCTAGCCTGCTGCAGAAAATTTAGAGGCTTCACCTACGTCTGCAACTGATGTTTGTTTTGAAGTTGAGGTCAACCCTGGGTGATATTTGTATTCACTGAAGGCTTGCATTTTATAAAACACCTGCATGAATCTTTTTTAAATACACATTTAATTAAATTTTTTAATAAGACATGAGATTTTCCCTGTTTTATGTAAATACAAGGTTACTTTTTACAGGTTTTTATGATATTCAGGAATTATCTTCAAAATTTAAAAATACAGTTGTTACTTATAATCTTCATATATTAAAAACAAATGTTATCAAGTAAACCTCTCATTCAATATGACAAAGCTGCACCATTATATTTCTACCCCTCAGTGGGTCCCTTGCTGACTGGTCAGTGTTCTAGTTTCTTTGAAATTTTTTTCTCTGTTCCTGGGTATTAAAATAAACTAACTAGGTACATAATTATCATGAGCAATGCTGCCTCTCCCAAAATTGTGAATTTTATGGCCCCAGGATAAGGGGTTCCGGTGTTAGGGCGGGGCTTTATTGATTATATAGTGAAAATACATTAATTCTTTGAAAATCTTCTTCTCTGCTCCTGAGTATTAAATAAACTAGCTAAGTGCATAGTTATGATGAACAAGAGTGCGTCTACCAAAATTGTGAATTTTATGGCCCCGGGTTCATGGGTTCTGGTGTTAGGGCGGGGCTCTATTGATTATATTGTGAAAATACATTCATTCTTTCAAATCTCTTCTCTGCTCCTGGGTATTAAATAAACTAGCTAACGCATAGTTATGATGAGCAAGAGTGCTTCAACCAAAATTGTGAATTTTATGGCCCCGGGGTCATGGGTTCTGGTGTAAGAGTGGGGCTCTATTGATTTTATAGTGAAAAAAACATTTATTCTTTGAAAATCTTCACATGTATATTAAGCAGATGAACAATTGAATTAACTATATAGTTATGATAAGCAAGGGCCCCAATCTTCCAGAATTGTAAATTGTAAGGCCCCAACCCGTTAAGTACTATAGTAGATCAACTTAGAAGAATACACACTGTATGATAAAAGAATGAAAAATAATATCATATAAAATCGTATTGTACAGTGGCTTTTTCACATTTAAATCATTATTAATTAGTTGAATACATGGTCATAGTTTATAATTTATTGTATTGTACAGAATACTACAGTACTACGGATACGTTTGACGTGAATCCCCCCCCCCTTTATGTAAACATCTGAAAACGAAATAGGATTTATAGAATTTACTGAGCAAATATAAATTCTTAAGTTAAAGAATACTTCTGAATACAAATAAAACAAAATGAGAAACCTACCTTCTGATGTTGCAGAGATATACGTCTCCCCGAATGCATGTGGCACACCACACAATGTGTCTGAAGTAATCGAGATGTTGTACCGAAATACATGATCGAATCTTTCTTTGACTGATAGCTAACGTTTTTCAGTTTCTTATCAACAAAAAAGCTTAATTAACACAAGTTAAAACACTTGGGAATTCTAGAAAACATCGATAATTAAGAATTGGTTGAATTGGATCTAGTTATGTGTATCAGATAAAACTTTTGTTCTTTAGGCCTATTATCAACATCAGGTTAAAAAACCACCTATACACAGTTGAAATATATGAATAATCATAAATATGTTAAATAATATGCGTTGTGTTTGTTTAAATGACATATGCATGTTTTTATGAATAAAATAATTATTCATTCCAAAACATACACTGAAACTTGTGTGATCTGTCAGTGTGTAGGATTGCACAGTATAAAATACCGTATAAGTGAAAATATTAGCGAGACGCAAATTTAGCGATTTCTCCCTAAAAACTAATATATTCCTTTTTAGCGAGAGGTAATTTTAGCGATTTTAAAACGGTTACTACCGAATTTATAACATATATAACGCATTTAATATTCAGGGATATTCAATTTTAGCGATCTCAGCAGCCTCGCTAATAATGCCAAAATTAAATCTTTTTTTAAAATTTCTACTTAAACGGTATATGGAAAGTAATTCAACTAAAAAGAAACACTAAAATGTCAAAATTTTAAGTGTGAAGAATTGCACAGGTGTCAGATTAGAGTTTTCACTGTATTATTATCATTAATTGTTATGATTTCTGAATATTCATATTCATGCAAAAAAGAATGATTTATCATCAAGATTTTATTTCCAGGAGATTATGGCTTTTTTCCATGAAATATGGGCTACTCTTGAAATGAAGGACAATATCTTGCACAAACATCTTCATGAGGATAGACAGTTTGCAGTTGGATTCCATGACAATGAAAGCATTGAGAACATTAAGCTCTCTATAGTTAAAGTTGTGCAAAATCTAAATCACTGGGGAGAAAAACTTCCATGCTCATGGGTCATGTTTGAAAAATTCTTCCAGGAAAAGAAATCCTTGAGGATAATGAAAAAAGAAATGCTGCTGGCTTTCAATGAGGCATTGTCACAGGAAATGAAGCTTCAAACAGTTCATGACATTGATTTTATGCTTCAGTTTTTCCATGACAACAGAGAAATTTTATACTTCAACCAAGAAATACTTGATTGTGTAATCATTCTTGATGTGCAATGGTTTGCAAATTTATTTAAAAATGTAATTACAGATAAAAACCATGCAGAGAAAGATTTATGTAGGTTTGCATCAGACTGGAAAAAATTTGATCAAACTGGAGAATTAAATGACACTTTGCTTACAGCTATCTGGGAAATGAAGGGAATAGCTGTCAGTGAACACAAAACAAATGTCATGCTATACATGGAGAAGCTAGGATTATTAGCAAAACTGAATGACAAAAAATGGTATGTCCCCTGTATGAACAAGAGACCATTTCCTGCGGAATGCTTCTCATCATACCCTACCTCATCCATCCTCTGCTACGTGTTTGATGTTCTTCCTGTTGGCATTTTCCATCGTCTTGTAGCTACATGCTTGCAAATTCCCTGCGAAATTGTTACCGAGAGAGGGGAACTATGTATATACTAGACAGCAGCTGTATTCTTGTTTAAAGGTCAAAATGTATTGCTTGGAATGACTCCCAGGGAGATTCAGTTACAGGTCTTTGTTATTAAAGGCGAAGTTGATATATCAAAATGCCAGGAAATTAAGGCAAAAATTGACCGTATGCTTAATGTTCTTTCCAGAACTTTCCAGACTAACTTTCGATTTAAGTTTGGGTTTAAATGTAAAACTACAGGATTCTGTGATAGCCAAGAAAGTTCTGTGATCAACGAATCAAAATTTACAAAAGCATCTTTTCAGTGTCCTTCCTGTCCAGTAGGGAGAAAGCACATAATAAACTCGAAGATTATCACGAAATATTGGATACAGGTACATGAATTTTATTGTAATAGTTATACTTTCCATAAAAATAGAAAATAAATTTTACTGGAAAATCTAGTTACTTGAAGGTTTATGATATTGGATCATAGCTTGACTTTTGTACATATATATCTTAAGTTGGCTACATGGGTACTGTTTGTATTAAAAAGACTTCAGTAAATTCAATTAAACATCTTAAACTTTTTAGAAAGTACAGCATCAAATAGGTCGTAGAATAAGTTTTTCAAATAATGGAACAAAAGGTTAGTACTGCAATTTTAATTTTGAGAAAAGAGTCTATTTAAAAAAAAAAAAAAAAAAATTTCATTGACAGTAAAGACAAGTTGTTTAAATAATTTACTAAAATAACGAAATTGGATGATGTTAGAAAAATTACTCACATGGGTTTATAAAGAGCTTTTTAGAGAAATATATAACATAATTATGCATTTTAGATTTATACTTGTTCAAATCATTATTCTTATATTAAGTAGGTTGGGGGCGAAAACAATGTAGATTTGGTTCATTTTGGATTAAATACTAGTAAGCGTTTTAGATATATTTTTTTTTTAAAAATGGGGTCGCTTCTTTATCAATTACATGTAATAGATGTGTATTTGTATGTACTTTTTTCAATACAAGAACTGAAAATATTGAGCTACAATTCATCAGTTGGACATTTTAATTGAAAACGTATTGTTTTCACATAAACAGTCATTTGTATTGCAAGAAATACATATATAATGTGAGAGTTAATTAAGTGTTTGTTTCATATCGTTTCAGTATTTTGCATTCATGAAATTTCATTTGTAGCATTATTAAATCTTAAATGATCATTCATAATGATCAAGCCAGTTTCAGTGTCAATATTTTCATATTAAAGGTACATGACGATGAAGCTCAGCCTTCTGAAGATAAAGGTATAAATAAAGGTTCACTGTCGGGGAGTTCTGGATCAAGTGAGTCTCATCCAAAAGGTATCTCAACTAAATCTGAGATTAAACTCTTTTTACATTTTCCTGGATTTAACATAGCACATATTATACAATATTAGCGACTAGTTTTGATGTACATATTAATATTTCCAATCAACGAATATGTTTTTGTCATGCAAGAACGTATGTATGTATGTATGTAATTTCTCATGAAAATGACAAACTTACCATTTAATTTTTTAAAAAAGGAAACTTATTAATAAGTTTTAACTTTGCACTGCATTGAAGTGATATATAGATAAATCCATTAAAATTAAATCTCTTGTCAGACCCCACACACTTCTTTTATTTCTTGTGTATCCTGTATACAAATTAAAATGCACGTATATAAAAGAAAATAAACCTCAAACAACTACATAAAAAAGTAAGCTTTACGAACAATCTTTTACTTATTTTTGATCAGAAGTCTTTATATGTTTTTTCTCGTCCGGAAGGATTAAGTAAATTCATTTTATTGTAAACTTTTTTATTTGACATGTTGGAGAAAGTTTGAAATGATTTGTTTGTTTTCATTTACGATAACCATGGCAATCATATTTACTATATTGTCATTAATTAACATACTTTGGGGTTATATTTCTATAATACAGATAATTTTGCCAAGATATTAAAGTTATTGCAAGTTGGAACTGATGCAGTAAGAATCTGCTTCAATAAATTCTTCCCAGAAGAGGATTTAGAAAAGACTCTAAAAGAAAATGAAACATACATGAGAAGAGGACAGTTCCGATTCCAACCACCTCAGTTAGAGATTCTCTTTCCAAGGCAAGGTACTTATTGGTTTTCCTTTCTTAATGATAAACGTTATGCTTCTTAAAATATTTTATAGCATAAAGAAATATAAAAGTCTGTATAAAGATTTTTGTTATGATAAAAAAATTCTGTACTATGCACTAAATAATGTATCTTCTTTAATAACGAAATTTTTTTTTTCTCAAACCAACAAAACTTTACCCAAAAAAGTAGTAATTTTACAGTATATAATTAATAATTTAGAATAAGAACAAGAACCTCTTATTCCATTACAAAGTATCCCTTTTGAAATAGTATTGGATAATAGAATAAACAAAAAAGTATACAGAAAATAAAAGTAATTGTGAAAAATCTACCAATAAAATATATTAAGCATTTCTTGGTATCAAAACAAGAATGTGAACTATGTCTGAATAAATTTAAGGTAACCAAAGATTTTAGGGACTATAATTGGTAATTATATATATAATACCCCAAATCAAAGTATGACGGAGAAATATATAGTTAAATTAATACCATAAATCAGTGGGATATCTACAGACTTCAAGACGGAATATTTCTATAAACTATGATGTAATAAAGCAAATGCTAATTTTTCATGATTTATTCAGGAAAAAAAAGAATATATTGCCTCGATACTTTAAGTAAAAATTGAATAAATTGTGTTCATTTTTTCTGTTACATGTAAGGAGGCTGGGGGTCAACAAATTAACCATAAATTAATCACCAGATTTCACTTATTTTTTAGGTACAGTTTTTTAAGCTGTCAACTATCATTTGGCAAAGAAAAAAAATCATACACTTTAGTTTTAAAATTTGATCATTTTTGTATACCTTTATATGGAGCTTCTTTTTAAGGATATCAAAATAGTCTGAAACAATAAAAATTTTTGTTATTTAAGATTTCTCATATATATGCATATATGCACTTCGGCACATTTCAAGAATTTTTCAATATACAATCTATTACTTAAAGATTTTAACAGTGTTTTCAATAGCATATCTAATTAATTTAATGTTCCCAAGAAAAGAAAATTACTTACAATTGTTTCAATACGACATGTCATGAAATTAGGAATAAACTTTAAACAACAACAAAAGTAATATATAATTATTTAGATCATTTTTTTTTGTTAAGGATTTTAAATAGATAAATTATAAGTAATGTTTGCTTGGAGTCAATGTTTCTTTTTATAATAAAAAAGTGTAATTAACAAAAAAAAATTCAAACCTTTTTTTTCAGTTTTTGTGCTGAAAGTGAAACGATCTATGTAACAAAAAGACATTTAAAATAATTGTACTACAGTGGGCCTTCAGATATCCGGACGCCAGATATCCGGATGCTTCAGTATCCGGACGATTTTTCATCGGAACGAAATTTTTAAATGTTATTTTGTCTTGTTTAAATGGTGATTCAGATATCCGGATGCTTCACATATCCGGACAAATTGACTGGGAACCAAAGCGTCCGGATAAATGAGGGTCCACTGTATATAGATCAAAATATAGATTAAAATATACTTTAAATCTTCATTTAAAAAAAATTAAAGATATTTTGACTTTTGTTTATGAAAATGAAAGATGATTAAGAGCGCTGAAAGATTATTGTATTAGCGTATTTGACGAGCTAAATAATTTAAACATTTTGCTAGTGATTGTCAATGAAAATCAAAACCTGATATGCTCCCAGGGGAAGTTAGGTTGTAAATGTATGGATAATTTAGATATATGAGTGAAGAAGAAAACCTTAATTTCTACTTTATCCATCTCAGACATGCATCTGTAAGTATGTTGAAGTAATTTTTTGAAGATGGATCCAGCACTGGTGTTTCATCTTTATCTATGGACATTAGCATCATGTATAAACTGTTAAGGAATTTCTCTGACATTGCTCCCCCTGGAAATGGATGGGGAAAAGAACCTAAAAAAGTGGACATCACAGAGAGTGACGACATAGAAAGAATCCGTTTATATAGAAATAAATACAGCCATACTCCAGGGAGTAGCCCCGTGATGAGTGATGATGTCTTTAACATATCCTGGGATGATCTTTCTAAGGTATGTAAACCACTTTACATCGAGGGACCATTTTTATCTCTTTTTATATCCAGCAATGAAATAATGTTTAAGCATTTATCTATCAGAAGAAATTAGCTAGCGTAAATTGATTTATTCCTTAGAAACAAAAACAAAATTCAAGGGGGCTAAATCATTTTAAATTTGTCCTGTCTTTTGAGCATACATCACTCAGTAGCAAATAACGCAAATCAGATCATCAAAGAAAAATGAACACATTTCAAGAGGGCAAAAATTTATGTCTGCTTAAAGCAACCCTTTCTGTATTTAGTTGTATGTATATTTGCAAATTTCAACTATTTTCTCATTTATGCCATTTTGGTTTTTAGCTCACCTGAGCCGAAGGCTCAAGTGAGCTTTTTTGATCAAAATTTGTCCGTCGTCTGTCGTTGTCGTCGTTGTTGTTGTTGTAAACTTTTCACATTTTCATCTTCTTCTCAAGAACCGCTGGTCCGATTTCAATTAAACTGGGTGAAGGGGATTCAAGTTAGTTCAAATGAAGGGCCACGCCCTTTTCCAAGGGGAGATAAATAATCATGAATTTGTTAAAAATTAATGGCATTTAAAAAAAAATCTTCTTCTCCAGAACCGCTAGGCCAGGAAAGATGCAACTCATGTGGAATATCACCCTCAGGTAGTGTAGATTCAAGTTTGTTCAAATCATGACCCCCGGGGCAAGGGTGGGGCCAAAATGGCGGGCCCAAGTTTTACATAGGAATATAAAGGAAAAATCTTTAAAAATCTTCTTTTCCAGAACCACTGGGCCAGGAAAGATGAAACTCAGATGGAATCATCCTAATGTAGTGTAGATTCAAATTTGTTCAAATCATGACCCCCGGGGGTAAGGGTGGGGCTAATATGGCCGACCCAAGTTTTACATAGGAATATATAGGAAAAATCTTTAAAAATCTTCTTCTCCAGAACCACTGGGCCAGGAAAGATGAAACTCATGTGGAATCATCCTCAGTTAGTGTAGATTCAAATTTGTTCAAATCATGACCCCCGGGGTAAGGGTGGGGCCAAAATGGCGGGCCCAAGTTTTACATAGGAATATATAGGAAAAATCTTTAAAAATCTTCTTCTCCAGAACCACTGGGCTAGGAAAGATTAAACTCATGTGGAATCATCCTAATGTAGTGGAGATTCAAATTTGTTCAAATCATGACCCCCGGGGGTAAGGGTGGGGCCAAAATGGCCGACCCAAGTTTTACATAGGAATATATTGGAGAAATCTTTAAAAATCTCCTCCTCCAGAACCACTGGGCTAGGAAAGATTAAACTCATGTGGAATCATCCTAATGTAGTGTAGATTCAAATTTGTTCAAATCATGACCCCCGGGGCAAGGGTTTGGACAAAATGGCCGACCCAAGTTTTATATAGGGATATATAGGAAAAATCTTTAAAAATCTTCTTCTCCAGAACCACTGGGCCAGGAAAGATGAAACTCATGTGGAATCATCCTCAGTTAGTGTAGATTCAAGTTTTTTCAAATCATGACCCCCGGGGGTAAGGGTGGGGCTAATATGGCTGACCCAAGTTTTACATAGGAATATATAGGAAAAATCTTTAAAAATTCTTCTCCAGAACCGCTAGGCCAGGAAAGATGCAACTCATCGGACAAAATGGCCGACCCAAGTTTTACATAGGAATATATAGGAAAAATCTTTAAAAATTTTCTTCTCCAGAACTGCTAGGCCAGGAAAGATGCAGCTCATGTGGAATTACCCTCAGGTAGTGTAGATTCAAGTTTGTTCAAATCATGACCCCCGGGGGCAAGTGTGGGGCAAAAATGGCCGACCCAAGTTTTACATAGGGATATATAGGAAACATCTTTAAAAATCCTTCTCCAGAACCACTGGGCCAGGAAAGATGAAACCCATGTGGAATCATCCTCAGGTAGTGTAGATTCAGGTTTGTTCAAATCATGACCCCCGGGGCTTGGGTGGGGCGAAAATGGCCGACCCAAGTTTTACATAGGGATATATAGGGAAAGCTTTTAAAATCTTCTTTTCAAGTACTTCAAAGCTATGATTAGTGATATTTATATGGAATCATCCTCAGGTAGTGTAGATTCTTGTTTGTTCAAATGATGAACGCCTGGAGGGGGGGGGGGGTAAATTCAAGCCCGATGTGCTCAGGTGAGCGCTGTGGCCCCTGGGCCTCTTGTTTCTGTTTAACTTACATTAAGTTGTTTAATGTCCTTGTTTGTCTAATTTAAAAAGGTTTCTATTTTATATTCTTTGTCAACAAAAGCAATCTTATACTTTTTATATGATTTCTTTTCAGGCCATTCTAAGACTCAGTAGTGGTGTTTTGAAGAGAAGGATTAGTGAAATATAGCTGAGTGGATATCAAAATTTGACAACATAAACTTGACAACAAGAATAATTTCTGTAAGATAAAAAATGCGTTCCATGATAGTATTCATCACATTTATTGTAAAATTTTGCAATATTTTATAGTGATGAATATTTTGACAAACAAGATTTTCATTTTCCGATGACAACATATATAATGTGAAATACCCTTCATGGATAATAGTTCCAGATTGACTTTACAATGTCTTATTATAAAGTGGTATTTTACATATTGCTTATCCCTGGAATTTATTATCTTAATCTTTGTTTTTATTGACAATATATCAAAAGGATTGGACACAAGTTCCAAAAACTTAGATAGTCCTCTCCCATCTATATCTTGATGTATTGTAATAAATAGTGCTTTAGCTTGGTTAGAAATTTTCATTTTTCTTTTTTCGATAAATGATCAATATTTTAATAGTAAACTATATTTTTGGATTTTATTTAGATGTTTACTTGCATTTTACAAATAATGATGAAATGATATATATCTAAATGAATGTGATGAATGTGAATGTGAGTGTGTTAAATAGACGAATGTAAATTTCATACCACAGTCAAGAAAGATAACTGTCCAATACATATATAAACATTGGCCAAGAACCATATTTGCAATGCTTGAACGAGTTGAAAGCTAACTTTTTTCTTTAAAAAAAATTAGTCAATTGATATTTGTTTAACAATTTTTTTAGAAAGGTTTCGGGTTTTATTTCTGAATTTAACATGTTTAATTTGTTCTTCTGTTTTTCTTGAAATTTCAAGTTTCGTTTGAAAACGAATATTATATGTTATACGTAATGCAACTAAAAGTGTGTTCTATTTCATTCTAGTATATCATTTGAAAAAATAAATACATTTTATACTGTGGTTTTGTGTATTTTAACAAAAACTTAAGTTTTCCAACACCCATGACAGACCTATGTTTATTGCGTATATACACAGAGACCTACGGAGATATGTCCCTGGTATACCCGTACACAAACCTGGGGGATGTTATTCACACCTTTCTGTCTCCTTTTTGTTTGTATACCCATTACAATAAGTTTTGAACAAGGATGGGGCTAGGTTACATCATTTTGAATTCAATTAAAATACTTAATTTAATGTAGATCGAATTATTGAAAATTCAGTATTTAATAGTATACATGTATGACAAATAAGGTTATAATAAAGAGATCATTAATAATAAAATTTCCTATTTGATTTCATAGATAAAAAATATTCGTTGAAAATTAATAAAGGGTTGTGATTTAGAATAGACCACATTCAGCATAAACTGTATTGTAAATTTTTATTTATAGGATTTTCATATTAATGTAGAGAACATATACCATGTAGTCCAGTCAATCTAGCTCAAAAACACCCAAACCTCAAACAAATTGCAACAGAAGTTATTCCAGTGGAATTTTGTAATTTATAATGTGCCTTTTGATATATCAAAACTCTAGAAAAATATATTTGTCCAAACATCATTTTTTTCGATTATCAAAAAACCCAATATTTGTTCAAAAATGTCAATAAATTTCCTTTTGAATAGACATTCTATTTATGCATAAAATTAGTTTTGCCAGGAATATGATCTTGAAATTTTTTGACACTGATGCAGAAATGCGTCTACAAACTGAAACCGATGATTATTTCATTAGTTGCTATGGATTCCTGTTCCCATGGCAACAGAAATAATAGAAAAATAAAATCTTTCCAATTCCTTAGTACGGCTTTGTACCGGTACAAAAATATGTAGCCATAGTAGGAATGATTTAGTAAAGTATTAATTGATTAATGAGGAACTAAGATAATTTTTAAAAAGCTATAGGGGATAATGTAAGCACAGACATCCAAGATTTTTTTCAGTGGGGGGGGGGGGGGGGGGGGGTCAAAAAATCTCACATATGTTAAGTCTCATAATTTTTTGACAAGCAAAAATAAATAAACAAACAATTAATAAAAGTTTAAAATAAATAATAAATAAAAATAAATTTATTACAAGTGATATGCGATTTTTTTTGGGGGGGGGGGGGGTAATAGGTATTGTGATGCGGAGGCCTAAATACCGGAAAGTCCAGAAAGTCGTCATTTATTTATTCAGTCTCTCAAATATGAATTAAGGAAAGCCTAAAAAATTGTAAAAGTTGAATAAACGGCACCTTACCATCCAAACATGATCAATTTTATGTAGATAAAAATTTCAAAAAAGTGAAAATTTGTTTTTCTAGCATATTTTTAAGAAAAATAATGTCATCTAAAATCATTGTAAAAATTGCTTGTAAAAATATCATGATATTATCTTGACATTTTGGGGGAAAAATCGTGATACGGAAGTTTTGGCGATACTCATCCCTATAGAAAATTACAACTAAACTTCAAAACCTCTTTCAGGGGATGGGGTGGTCTATTTTTATAAGGTATATGACTTCTTGACATCTTAATGAGTCCTGGGGAATATTACATGGACATTACATACCGGAAGAACATTTAACTCTAAAACTTTCAGAGGGAGGGGTCTCTCTCCGACATATCTACTTTTATAGCAATGCATATGCATATTCATTCGAATATGTTATATCTATTAATAGTTAAGTAAAACCTGAACGAAGTCTTGAAAGTCAGATCCCCCCTTTTATTTGAAACATTAAAGATATAAAAGAAAAAACATAAAATCCACTGAAGATGCCATGGAATCCCTAAAAATGCATTAATGATTATCTTGAAACTGGAACTGGATCCTATCTTAAATGTTAACCTCAATATAGTATCCGAATTGCTTCTCACTGTACTCAATATAATGTCCATTGCTAGTTTTTATATTCTTTCGGATTATTTTGTAATTGTGTGTGTGGTGGGAGGATATCACATTATTAAGCTCTTGGCACTTTGAAGTAAACATTGCAGGTCTACGGGATGAGAGCGTTTCATGTTACATGTAGTCGTTGACATGATAAAGAACCCTCACTGCTCAATGGCCCTAAGCGCAAAGTGAAAGTATAAATTTGAAGCCCTTCAGTATATATATGGTGAAGTTTTTATTTAAGTAAAAAGTTCTCAAGCGGGGCGTAAAACATCATACAATCAAGCAATCTGGGTCCTTTGGATGAGACCTATAAACCGATGTCCGCGTAAAGGACAAAATTTGCAGCTGTTCATTAGCAAGTGCATGGTAGTGTCTCCACAGTAGTGAAAAATTCTCAAGAGGGATGTTAAACAACAATCAAACAAACTAGCGCTACTTTTCTATGATATTGAGTCTTTTTTATAACAATTAAGATTTTCTATGCAGTTATATATAGTGAAAAATTCTCAAAAGGGATGTTAAACAACAATCAAACAAACTAGCGCTACTTATCTATGGACATTGAGTCTTTCTTATAACAATTAAAATTTTCTATGCAGTTTTAAATGATACATTCTACTTACTGTGATAGGAAAATAGTATTTTTAATAACGTTTCCTATACGAGGGGCATTTCAAAAGTCCTGAGAACTGTTTAATAAAAAATTAACCATTTCTCGGAAATTATTGAGTTTGGTATCATTGGAAAGATAAGAAAAATATACAAATACTATGACGTCACTTTATTATTTTTATGACGTAATATCTCCGAAAATGACGTCAGAAAATAGAATGTTTAGCATACTGAAAACTCGCGTTTTTATCCACATGGCACAATTTTAAAAGTGCTCCCAAAGGCTTATTTGAAAATATATTTTAAAGAAAATTTTCATTTGCAAAGAAGTTGAGTAGGACTATGGTACTGTTTATCAACAATACTATATTTCATCGTTTTGTTCGTTTACTAGCGCGGTTTATGTCCGGTTATGCTATCATCGACATTCATCCAAGATTTTAAGTTACATGATACGACTGGATTTTCGATCTTTTATATATTTCTCCATTGTATGAAATAAAACATTTTCTGCATAAAACTAAAGTATATTAATGCAATTTTCAACAAATATATTTTGAGTAACAGTACTCTTACCGTTTGCAAATAAAATGTACAAAAGTCTTGCCACTGACTTGTTTCTGTACGTATTTTTTCTCATTAATTCAACTTCGGCGCCCCCAAAACTCAGTACTGCTTTTGACTTGTGACTCCAAAAAAGGTTTGTAAGTTACACATACATGTCGAATCTTATTTAATTTCCATGAATTGATTTTTGCGAATATGTGGAGGTACGGTGGGGTTACAACTGCGCCAGCGCCATTTTGGATTTTACGAGAAAATATGGGGCACAATAAACTTAACTTCTCTTGAGCCTTCATCGATCCCACAAATATGGTTAAAACACCTGACGAATTGATGCCATGTGATTAAGTAACACGATCGTCTATTTTTCTTTGATTGTCAACTTTGCCTTATTCTCACATTTGGGTCTGTTTTCTGCAATATTTTGAGCAAGATTCGATAAAAACTTGCGATGTTTGACAATCGCTTAAACCATTTCAGAACAAGAAGATCTCTATAATAGACCATCATATGATAGATTGTAGTCTATGTAAAGATTCTACCAACTGTCATTTACGTCCGATAGCTTGCACCCGAGTAATGAGCAAAAGTTGTTTTAAAAATTTTCCATTGATGAAATTGTGTCTTTTGTTACGTCATTTTTATGGTCAGTATTGTAAGTATGCGGAGGTTTGACGTCATTATCGGAGTTATTACGTCATAAAAATTATAAAGTGACACCACAATATGTGTGCATTTTTCTGCGCTTTCCAATGATACCAAACTCAATAATTTCCGTAAAACGGTTAATTTTTTATTAAACAGTTCTCAGGACTTTTGAAATGCCCCTCGTATATGCATGTGTATTTGAATAATTTTTATTTAAGTAAAAAGTTCTTGAGCGGGGCGTAAAACAAAATACTATCAACCGAACTGGGCCTTTTGGATGAGACCTATAACAAAAGTCCCACGAAAAAGATCCCTCGGTCTGCTGTAATCGGAAATATTGCGTAGTTTTTGAAAAGCTGAAATGCACGAATTTATTACATAATTGGATATGTTTTCAAAAAATCTTACAATGCGGCCTATTTCAAAGACTTCTCATAAAATTTAATCCCTTGTGTGACCCTACTTAGTTCCAGGGTTATGTTCAGAAATAACCAGAAGCCAAATGCGAATCAAAGTGATTCGTAATGTTTAAGAAATATGCTTACAAATTACAAATACAGTAAAATAAACTTTACATAATAAGCACCATTACCGCACTGTCACGTGGTCAAGCTGGCTATCTCCAAGAATCACTCAAGTTTAATAAGTTTAATAAATTTATTCACAAAAAAAATTTAATAATAATAACAAAGATCTAACACAAACTTACCACACACAAATTCACACCCTCTTCCTCACTATTAAACAATTAAACAAAGAAAAAAAAAACAATTGGTAATCAACAATTACCCAATTAACAAATTCATTAATCGGTTAATCACCCCGGGTATCTAATTCAGTTATTAATGCCAAACAAGTTCACAGATCATAGATTATCCTCGTCATCATCACGATCATC